TTTTTTTTTTTTAGTTCATGCATATATAATCTATATATTTATTTGATAATAAAATAGCCCTATGTTACATAAATCATATCTCCTATAAAATTATAATATATTAATTTTTTGTCTTAAATTTTACTAATTCAATAATAATTATGCAATACAATCCATTTTTATTTTTCTATTTTCATGTTCATTATATAAATAATAATACATATATTCAATGATTTAGGATTAGTCTTTTGTTTTAACGGTATTTATATTCTACTTTTCTATTCTAGAATTTACATGAAGTGTTAAATTATATACATTATGTATATTTTATAATTATTTTATTTATTTTATCACAATATATTATATTCATAATAATATTTTCAAAATAATGAAATAAGCTGTTTTTCTTTTCTTTTTATCCATTCATAATATTATTATTTTATTCATATTTAATAAGAATATAATAAATGTAATCCTTATTGTATTTAATATTGTTAACATATTATTATATTTTTTATGATTCCCTTATAAATTTATAGCATATATTATTAATGATATTATTTCAAATACTTTTATTATAACATAATGTATATATATATTTTTATTTTTTTTATTGGCCTATTTATTTGAAACATACAACATCACTTTAAATTCTTTTCTATTTCTTATTCCATATTAATTCTGGTATTTTTATTATATATAGTCATTTCACATTTACAAAATGTGTTGCACATTTTTTTTTCAATTGAATATTAATTGCATTTATTATTTTTTATTATATTTATATTCAATGGAACAAGTTATATTATTTGTGCTTTAATTATAATTGCATATTTTTAAAAAAATATATCTATAAGGAAATGTAGTTATATAATAGTATTACCATATTTTTATAATTATTCCATTATGATATATGTGATATATTATGCACATAATCTCATTTTTAAGTATCTTTTTAATATCATTTATGTTATTAAATTTTGCATTCTGCTTATACTATAGTACAAATAAATTTAAATAATTCCTCATTCTTAAAAGTGTATAATTGATATATATATATATATATAGGAATATCATTTCATATCATAAAACTATATAATATTTTTTAATGATTTACGTACACTTAATTATTATTATTACTTAAATTCTATACTATTTGTTAATGTTTTATGCCTAGTTATTTTTTAGATAACACATATGGTAATATTATATACAAGCAACAAATAGAATATAACAATATTACTCATGCATTTTAATTTGTATTTAGTTTGAATTGAATACATAATTACAAGCGTGAAAAATTAAAATAATCATAGTATAATATTAATATAATATATTACATTATCCTTTAATCCTCGTTCAACATATTTGTTATACTTAAGATTTTTTATTTATGTTATACATTTCTTAAATTATATATTGTTTGTGCAAAATATATTACCATTTTTAAATATAACATTACTGATTAGTAATTATATTATAGCAATTAATCAATTAAGTTCTATTTCATGTATACTCTGTTTAAGTAGTTCATATAAACTAAAGGCAAAAAAAAAATTATGATATATGGAATGGATTAATATATTATTATATATTAGCATACAATTCAAATTTTTATTAGAATGAATATAATATATATAAATAAAGCTCTAACAATTTTATATATTTATTTCATATACATTTATCGAAACTGGTAACATGCTAAATAAAATATTTGTTCTAAAGTAAATCATACGTAAATATCAAAAAATTACATAATGCAATGCTAGTTCATATTTTATGAGCAAATATATAAAATTTATTATTTAAGCTTTTTATTATAAAATTAATTATTATATACAACATCATTTTTTTTAATATATATATATATATATATATTATTTAGATACTTCGAAAATTATCTTCTGGTGCTATAATACCATAAATCATGCAAAAACATATGTCGTAAACATATAGATTATTAATAATATTTGCCTTTACCTAACAAGGAAAAAGGATAATATGTATATTCTTATAGAAATGTAAACCTACTTATATAAATATTTTTTACACTTTTAATTTTCCTTTGAAAAAATAAGAAAAAAATGAAAATAAAAAATTAAATTACACAATTATAATTATGTGCTATTTTGCATTTATCTTATCGTGCATACATTAATGAATTTACCCATATATAGATGGCTCATATTATTAATAATGCACGATACATATATTTTAAGATATTATCTCTGAAATGTCCTTTGCTCAAATAAGATGAAAAAGACTTTTAAAACATATTTTTTATTCTAATAATGCAAAATAAAAAAAAATTCATGTTTTTTTTAATTTAATAAAAGGTCAAAAAATTGGAGTGCATAATTATAATTCAAACGAAATATATAAAAAGATATAATTTGTTTTATCTAATGTTTTAGTTACTTCACATCTACCAAAGTACATAAAAATATTTAATAAAGTATAATGAGAGGTAACATAATATATGAACTATAAAAGGTGCACAAATTTTTATAACCATTTTTTACATTGTTATAGAAGATATAATTCTTATTATACTAAATAAAAATATGCCAAAAAATATATGATGTTGTAAAAAATAAATATTCTATTATAAGAAATCAAAACAACATAAAAGAGGTAATGGAACTAATATTATTATTCAAATGCATTATAGAAGCTATTCTCAGATAAAGCTTCATAGAGTATATAGTTATACATCTATTACATTTCATATCATTTCACCAAATATGTTATAATGGAAAAGAACTATATATTAATTTATGCAATTGTTTTACACCTGGTTAAAAAAAAATAATAGAAAAATTGAGGTTCGTGCATAAATATTAGCACAAGGGAACAACAAAATATGTAATTTGAGTAAGATATAGTAAGATACACTTCAGCAATTAAATTACGCTTAATTCATCATTTCAACCCTGAAATAAAATAATGTAAACCTAATTATAATGCTACACGTATTGCTATTTTCCGTGATAATGTTTCCTTAGTTATTATATATTTTTACAAGTAATATATATTGTTATCTTACATTATTATATCTATATAAGACCATAAAATAATAAAAAAAGTTCATTTATGAATTATTTAAAATAATATTGTAATTAAAATGAAATATGTACATCACTTTTTCATTGAAAAGATACAACTAAACGTAAAAAAATAAAATGTATGTTATTCACCACGAAATTAAGGTTGTTTTATAATTATTGAGGAATTTTTATTACATATAATAGATAAATAAGAGCAAAAAAAAATTAGAGAAAGTACTTTTTGCAGATTAATATTTCTACTATTGGTAAATACTACATTGTTATTATTATTTCTCGCATGAATAGACAAGGAAACTGATTTTACAAAATATATAAATTTTAAGTGCTTTCCTTATATAATATGGAATTGTAATATAATGGATATATAAATATAATAATAATTTTTAATTAAAGATATCAAAATGTATATATTTGAATGTCTTGAAAAAAAAATGTAATTATAGTTCTTTATGTAAAATGCTAATATAAATATAAATTATTGCAGATTAATGTATAATTTTATATGTACAACGGATATATCTTTTCCCATAAAATGCACGATGCATTTTATATTTTTGTTTTATTAATAAATGTACTCAATTCATTTTTTATGAACATACGCTAAATTTAGATCCTTTTTACATATATATTGTATAAAGTATTTTTATATTGTATTCTTAATCCACATGTATATACCACAGTTATTTTTCTTAAGCATTAGTTCGAAAAAATAAATATATTATAATTAATGTTTTATATATTTTTTGTTAATATACTACTAAAAAAATATATGCATGGTAAAATGAATAGAAAGTCTTGTCTTAATGTTATGTGGAAGAATAGAAAAATGAATTATAATCATATAGGTTTATATCTAAATATGGATTAAAATTTTTTTTTTTCATGGTTTTGATACCACAGGTATCTTCAATAAAAAAACATAAAAAAATCTATTTTCATAAATATGTTTATGACCTAAAAAAAATACGAAAATATACTATTGAGTAAGTAGAAGGAAAAAAATATATATTATGTCATTTCACTTATTAGTTCCCAATTCCTATTATATATATTATTTAATATACCTATTCATATTTTGAGTATTGAACAACTCAATCTCATATGTATATATATGCTATTATAAACATTAATTTAGAAATAAAATAATATTCTAAATAATTTTTGCATATATATATTTTATATTAAGTCATAAATTTTTATAATCCAATAAAAAAGTATATTTATAATTTGTATTGTGTATTATACAGCATTAACTAGATATTATAATATATTATTTTTTGACCCTGATTTGTTTAATATTATAATAAATAAACATTACTATATATTATATCAATATACAAGGACTAAATTCTTAATGTGACATAATTGTAATAATAATAAAAATTCATTAGTTCTTCGGAATTTAAGAATGTATATCCTTGTTACTATTATAACTAATAATATATATATTGTATTCAAAAGAGAAACGTTATTTTTTGAAGTTAATATTCACATAAAATATGTGATTCAATGCTGTTACATATTTTATTGAAATAGTATTTTAGCTTTTTTATAAAAAAAATTATAATAAATTAAGTCATTATTTCGAGAATACTATTTTAATAAAATTAAATTAAACACAATTGTTATGGATTATTGCATGTATCACTGATACATGATATATATGTAACTGACAACTTTATAAAATTCAAAGGATATATGTGAAAAACATAAATATCACATTACGAAACAAAATATGCGGTATATTTTATTCATACTAATATATAATAGTGTCCAAATTAATATTCTTATTTATATTAAAATATTTATGCTTTAACTATATTTACAGTATGCTTGAACTTTGCATTTGTCTTATATTAAATGTTTAATTATACACATGAAATCTCACAAAAATAAATTACAATTATTAAAAAAAGGAATAAAAAAAAATTTCGTTTTGATTAATAACATAAGAAAATAATGAATTTATTATATCTTAAAATTTATGTTTTGTTGCTATATCTTAAGCATTTTATTTAAATTCACATTACTGGACATAATAAATGATATATACATTTAATTGAAAAAATTAGAATATACATATTTTATTTAATTATAATTTAATTTTTTATATCAAAAATATATATTTACGTGGATATACTATTATCATAATTATCATGAAACCTACTCATAGTATAAAAAAATTTATGCATAATAAGTACATTAATTAAAAATAATTCAATGCATATATATTATAATAATATTAAATTTTGTCACATTATATACTCACATAGAGCTATATGTGTCATTATATAATTATTGTATATTGAACAATATGTTTACGTATAGTTTATGTAAATTAAGTTAAATCATAATATTATAGTTATAAAAATTTTTATATAAAAATGATAGAAATATTGTAACATTAACCCCCAATGTTAAATTCACTCACTTTATTAATATATCCCTTTTAAGAACATATTAAAGAAATGTATATAAATATTTTTTTATTTATCTATTACTTATATGAATATATATCCATTTCATATATTACAGGCTATAACTGTTTTATTATAATAATATTATATATATAAAAAAGTTACAAAATCAAATTTCATTTCTCCGCATATTTATATATATCCCATATTCTAGCTTTCAATTTTTCTTATTATTTATCTATCTAAAAAAATGTACCTACCACTGTAAACAGAAAATTCTGCAAGAGATTAATTTTAAAGAAGAATTATATAAAAATATTTTTTTTAAAAAATTTAGTAAAATTTTTAATGTATATTTATACATACTATACGAATATAATACATATTTTCATTATTATAAAACAAAATATTACTATAATATATTTTTATTTATATACAAGCAAAACCATAATGCCCAGAAAAAATGATGAAAGCAATGTATACTTCTACATTTTTTTTTAAATTATAATTCATATTATTAATTTTAATATATTATATAATTTTAAAAAGAAGCAAAATTATTTTCATAAAAATTTAATTTAAATTTTTATATATATTTTGAAATTCATTTTTAGTTCAATTTTACGGGTTTATACCCCGAATGTAGAAATGAATTTGATCAATGTAGTTCGAAAATGCATGGGCTCTTATATACTTCGTATTCAGCGATTTGTAGTGATTTTAGAAATAATATAAATGCACGTTTAAGCGCTAATTGGAAGATAGAAGTAATTTGCATACAACTTCTTTTTTATTTACATGATATAATTAAAAAAAAGCATGAACTAAACGATAATATAAAGGCACGTTGTAATTATTTCTATTACAAACTACTATATATAGTTAAAAAATATGGAGGTGGGTGTGGAAAAGGCGATGAGTGCTACAAAGTAATGAGAGATCATAAAAAAAAAATGGAATAAGTATATCTGGTGTATGCATTCAGTATTTTACCGATATTGATGAAAAAACATTAGAAATAATGGAATATCTAGATGAAATATATAACCTGATAAATGAATTTACAATTTCGCATAATAGGACCACTGATAAAACGCATAAATTTAAATGGTGGATAGAAAAATTAGAAAATCATCCTTATAAAAATGAAAGCAATCTTAATGAAGAACTCGCAAAAATTATTCTAAAATGTGAAGAGTATAGAAAAAATTGGAACGATAAACGTTTTGACTATTGGGCCGCACTTCTCTTAACTGATAGTTGGATGAACACAAGAAAAATGAGTCTCAATAGGAAAGCTTCAGAAACAACAAAAAGTATTGAGGAACACACAGAATCCTTGGAAACCAAAAGAGTAGGTGCTCAACCTTTAATGAACACTGTAGCAGATGATGTAAAAAATACAGGAATTAGTATTGGAACGGTTTTTATAACTTTTTCAATATTAATAATAATTTTTATATTGTATAAGGTTAAAAACCAAATGAATATAACAAAATTATGTTGTATTAAATTTTATCTTAGAAATATTTTTAATAAATACATATAATATAAATGAACAATAAATAAGAATACAATTTTATTTTTTTTTAGTATACCCCTTATTACTCATTTATAAAACCAAGAGTACACAAATTAAGAAAAAAATTGAAAAAAATAACAAAAATGATCTGGGCCTTATGGACAAATTTGATTTTGAATACAAAAATTCATTTGATGGGAGTTATAAAATAGCATATAGTTAAATTAAGAGCAACCAATATATGAGTAATATTAGTCACTGGATCCAATTTATTTTTCTTTAATAAGCACAACATAAAAATTGAATTCTTGCAGAAAATAAATTTAATTATATTAAAATGACATATTATGATATAATAATATAGACTATTTATAACACCTAGTAAAATAACATAATATATGAAAATTCAATATCTAATCGACTACAAATGGAAGAATAAGCA